GGCGGGAGTCTCCCGATTTTCAACCGATCTCCCACCAACCCGATTTACAATATATTTCTGCCGACTTTTTCTTATTTTTAAAATTTCTCACGATTTTTATGGAACTTGGCTTAATGCTTTGTTATATGAACAAAAGTGATTTTGGACGTCTGAAAGCAATTGAATTTTCTCTAGATTATATCTAAAACAAAACCTTAAGAATCAGATAACTTCTGCTTTGTGAGTGAAAGCATTATACGTATCCCAGAAACGTCGTGAGTTGTGTGAGTGCACGTGCCTTCGGGAAACAGTTTTAGAAATTATCATCTTTTGTTATGCGAGAATGAAATACTCGTGTACGTTTCAAAAAACGTACAGTTGACTCTCCTTCCATTATTTCCTCAAGGAAATGTAATAAATTTGCGATGTGCATCGCCTGTCGTTGCGATTTTTCGAATTCGCAATGTGGAAGGGCGGATGTTCTCAAACATGTGCAAACACGAAAACACAAGGATAACATGAGTTGTTTTTTAAAAAAACGAAAACAAAAGACCAAAAAGTTATTAATGCAGAATGTCTGTTCTCTGCCTTTTTACTGGAGCACAACCTGCCGCTGAATGCATCGGATCACGCTGCAGCTTTATTTAGAAAAATGTTTCCCGATAGTGAAATTTCTAAGAAATACTCAAGTGCAAGAACCAAAACAGGTGCAATTGTTAAAGAAATGGGTTTGAAAAATAAATCTTCAGTTATTGATTGCACAAAACAGCTCTGTTCTGCCTCTCTACGGATGGAAGCAATAATACGGATTCAAAACTGTATCCAATTGTTGTTTCTTTTTTTAATCCAGATTCTTCAGAAATTGGGTGCAGTTTACTTTCTGTCCCCATTTTTAGAAGGACATTTGACAGGCTTTGATATACCACAGTTAATTATTAAACTTTAAAAGAAAATGCAGGCCCTCTGGATAATTGCTTAGCACTTGGTGCCGATAATGCACCAGTATTGGTAGGCTTGAAGATGTTGCAGGCATCTTAAGAAAGGAAAATTCAGATTTGCAGATTATGAGGTGCACCTGTCACCTCTTAAATTTAGCAGCTGAAAAAGGGGCAGCTTCTTTACCAATAAATGTGGATGAACACATTGTTGATATTTATTATTATCTTGAAAGCAGTTCTAAAAGGAAGGAAAAATTGAAACAGTTCCAACAGCTGCATAACAGCAGTTTACAATTAGAAAACTTGAATGAAGTTATAAAATCAGCTAGGAGTGATACCCAGTGGAGTTTAATTGGAAAACTGAAAGGTGCTGATGGAATTTTAAAATATAGTCAACTGTCTAGAATTGTGTTGGCCATCTTGACAGTTCCCCATAGTAGTGCAGAGTGTGAGAGGATTTTCAGTGTTGTTGCGTAAACGAGGACTAAATTTAGATCTAATATTAGTGATGACACATTAGAAAAACTTTTCTTAGTGAAAGTAGGCCTACGTGGCAATTGCAGTGAACAAAATTAGGAAGTTTCTTTCTGAAAGAAACTTCCTAATTTTCTAAACTAAAATTCCCTCTTTCCCCCCCCCTTAAACAATGCAAGTAATAATTTTTTTTTTTTTTTTTTTTTTTTATATATATGCGTAAGGTATTTTGTGTTGCTTGCATTTAAGAATTAGTTACTATTTAAAGTTAATTCATTATTAAAAACTATATTTTTATCATTTAAAAAGTCTTTTTAACATTGTGAAAAATCTCCTGATTTTTGAGTGTCGTAGGTTGGCAAGTATGGATATAGCATATAAAAAAATTAAATCACTTATCATAATTTTTCACATTACATCATCGTTTATCTATTAGTCATACATCATGGCTTCTTTTGATGCTTGGATCCTGTAACTTCGAAAATACTTCACTTCATGCTGTCCCAAATATTAATCATTTTATCAAAATGTAAGAAAAAATAGAACTTATAATCCGTTTTGGAAAATAGTTAAACCAACTTACTGAGAATTAATCGAATGTATTTTTAAACTAGAATAAACTTCATATAATTGTGTTGCGACTTCATGCTTATCCATTATTGGCACTAAATCGCAGTATTTGGCAACAATGTATGCTTATTAATAGAATATGATAATTTTATAATGGTATTAAAAATCACTCATTTAAATTTTTTCCCCCTAAAATTCTAAAATATTTTACTTATTTAAGCTTTCAGGTTGGTTGAATGTTGGATAGTCATGCTTTTGATGTAATAGATTTTTTTTTTTTTTTACAATTTTGATGTAGTTTATTTTGCTTAAAATCTGCATAAAAACAGAGGACCTTAAAATTAATCACATCTGCAGATCTTATTTATGTACATTGCGCAAAACAAGGGGGGGGGACAGTTCTGTATCTCCCCTCCTACTGGGTTGATTGACGAAATTCCTGAATTCAAACGTGCGGCTGTTACTGACATGAAGTTAGGCCAATCCTGCTATATATAAATCTAATATATATCCTGAGTCACGCTTTTGAGACATAAAAACATAATTTGAATTTCGTCAATCGGCTCAGTAAAACGGGAGATATAGAACTGTCCTTTTTGTCCCTCTTGGAAATAAGTGAAAAAATTTTGCGCTAATTTTTTGTTGCAAACTTTTATAGTTTTTACAGTACATGTATATATACTGTATATCTATGCAGAGAGAGAGCATTTCAGATCATGTTCAATTTCATATTCAAACCCTAGTCATTGGCTATATTTTCTTTCTAATCAGTATAAAATTTTTTACTTTCATTTTATTTTTTAAAAAAATCCAGCTCTGAAGATTATTTTAAAAAAATAATGCAATGTAAAATTTTCATAGAAAAGTTAATTTTTATTTATTTTCCTCTAACTTTCAGTATATTTTCATATGTTTGTAATTAATGCTTGATTCTTTAAAAATGTTTCAAAATGTGTAATCATTATTATGCTTAAAATCAAAAAATTCTGACATTGGGCACATTAAATAAGTGCTTGTGTACTTTATTTTTTTTAGGTTAACTTTCTTTTAAAATTTCAGAATAAAGCATAGTTTCTCAACATTAAAAAACCTCTCCTATATATCACTGAAACAAGCCTGCATTTGCTTCCGTGGTAGTTTTACTTTTCACTAATATAGATTATAAATAAAAATTGAAAATATTGTAAGCCCTTTTTTTATTCATTATATATGATAGCAGATTTTTATTGTTAAGTTAAATGTTTTAAGAATAAATATCATTTCTGATTTATTCTTGAAAAAACATTTTTTCCCCCAAGAATAAAAGTTAAAATAAAGTTAAAAAATACTTATGAAGTATTTTCCCCCCTTTTTAAAAAAAATTTCTTTTCCTTTATTTTAAAAAATATTTTTCCTGAATGTTTTCTTTCAAAATATTAATAAAATAATTACAATATTTCCTTGTGTATTTTCTCTAAATTTTTAACACCAGGCTCTGAAAATTTAAAATATATTTGCATAATTTTGTCCTTCTTTAATGCATTCAAAAAATGAGCTTTCCTAAATTTTAAAGTGGATTCATTCATGTAATGACTATTTTCTTTGTACTAAAAAGACAAATCCTTGCAAACTACCTATAATATGACTAATGACTGCCATTGAACTGAACTTTTTTTTTAAAGTTTTTTATCATTTTTATGTATCAAGTAATTTTTACCTGTCATTCTATTTTTTATTTCATGACAATATTTATTGTTGATTATATATATGAAGTTTCTCTGCCCCAAATAGTTAATCATGATAATATAACTTTCTGTTCTCTGTTTCATTTACATATAACCTGTTAATATATACGTGTAACTTGGCGTGTTTTTAAAGTGCAATTGACTTTTGTTGTATTCAAGTTAGAACCTTAAATATCACGCTTTTTTAGCAAAAATAGCCGTCCATCTAGAGGACTTTGGGTTTGAAAAACTTGTAGAAATATTAGGATTTTTTTGGAAGCAGGCAAGATGAAAGATGAGCAATCACCTTCGCGGGGAATCGAACCATGGACCTCTAGAATACCGTCCCACTGTGCAGACCACCACATCACGAAGGCACGCCAAGATGGTGGGAGCAATACCTTATATACACCCCCTTTTAAAGGGCAAGTAGGGTTTTTAGGGAACCCAATCGCCAAATCCTTAAAAACTAAACAAATTACTGAGTGTATCACAAATAAATAAATAAACAAAATACTCTTTGGAATGCTTTTATCAAGCTGCAAGTCATGTTGAACCTATTCCTTCAATGTGTTGAACTTTTTCCCTCCGTAATACAAGAATCAACCAATCACAGCAAAGTGAACACAACCTGATTTTAGTCTATAATTTTGCTGAGTCAGCTACAAATTCACCTTGTCACGTTATTTATGGATAACATGAGGCTAAGCAATGGCAGAGACAACAATATGAATGCGAAACATTTGAGTTAGAGGGAAGGAGAAAACAAGATATCATATGGATACTGTAATGTTAATATTACTATGTATTATTGAAAATTTATTATTCTTATTGTAATTATTACTATGGCTTCTTTTAAAGAAAAAATACTATGATAATTACCTGTAGTTTATCCATGACTGCTTTTCATGTGGTATAATCTTATTGTAACTGCATCCTTTGGAAATTAAATTATTCACATAATTTTCCTCTCTCGATTTTCAGACAATAAAATTAGTAAAATGAAAAGGAAAAATATGTGGAGAATTATGGTGTTAAGGCTAATAAAATGGAGTGTGCCAGCAATTGGACTCAGATTGCAAATGTCTAAGTACTTAACTTTGCTAATCAGGCTATCAAGTTTTTAGAAAAGTCAATAAATTTTATATGAATATTACTTCACTCTAAATTGTCTTGCTTTTTTTATAATTTTATTATGTGCTGAGATTCTTGTGATGACTATTTACGGGAAAATTAATGAGCTGAAAATCCTGTACTTTCCATAAATGTTAACTGCTATTTAAAAAATTTTCTTTCTTTCTTTCTTTACAGTTTTTCTTAATGTTTTCTTTTCTAGAATTTAGGTCTTAAATGCTTTTCTTCAGCTGATTTACAATGAGTTCAAGTTCACGTACTCGCAAGAAAGGAAACCCCCATCGTATTTGTACTCTTGCATTTAGGGAGATAAAAAAATCTGTGAAAAATTCACAATCGGATACAGAAAGAAGAGTTGAGAAAGGTAAGGTCCATGTTCAGCAAACTGTTAGTATTTTTGATTTCATTTATTATTATTTATGATTAACATTAATTACTGACACCAAACTGTACTTTTCATTTAACATCTTCATTATTTTCATTTATCAGATCATTTTTTACTTGCCATTCCTTTTTTTATTTCATGACAATATTTAATATTGATTACGTATCTCACCTTTTTTCCCTGCTCAAACAAATCAGTAGTGATAATGTAAATGCCTGTGCTAGGTTTTATTCACATATAACTTGTTAATATATGCAAGTGACTCAGAATGTTTTCAAGGTGCAGTTGACTTTTGTTATATTGAAACTAGAACCTCAGTTGTCTATTTATAGTATGCAAATATCAGGGATGCACATCCTTTTTAGCAGAAGGGCCACTCACAGAAACAACTTTGTTGCCAAGGGCCAATAATAGAGAATGCAGTTTTTTTGTAGGGGGGTCAATGCAATAAGTTGCTTAATTTGCAATTCAGACATGCACCATATAAATTTAAACTGATTTGGACACCATTACATATGTATGTAAGTAAGGGTTGATGCGATTTCAGTTTCCTCTTGCATGTACTACTGGAGCCAACTCACCCAATTCAGCTTGGGAAAAAATTTTTAATTTATGCTTGTGCCTGATAATTTAATATGTAAATATTTTAATAAAAATGTACACAAGTTGGCCATAGTTAAATACATTAGTGTAATGGCTGACGACTGAATTTTATCAACAATTTTTGATATCTTTGGATGAAAGCTAGTTGTTGATATTCATAAGACAGATTGCAACTGTTGATCTGTCAGTGTATTTCTTAATTTTGACTTATTTAGACTCATAAAAGAAAATGTTTGTTCATATATATAAGTACTACCAAACATGGTAGCACATCTGCTTGCGCAAAATTTGGCAAGTAGAGTTTTTTTTATAAAAGCGCAAAAATTTGGCAGGTAGAGTTTTTTTTTATAAAAGTAAAGAATGTCGAAATCACAGAATCTAGATTTGTGTAAGTCAGAAGTTTGTAAATCCATAAGTTCCATTTTAACATCTTGTAGAGCTTCTTTGACTACAACAGAAAGTGGATCCGCAAACAGTTTAAATTTAATCTTATGCAACTCAAAAATCTGTAAATCGCTTATAAGATTCTAACCTGTGTACTTTTAAGTTAAAGTTGAAGAATCTTAAAAACTGGTTAGCGAATAATCACTTGAGTTCGTGAGAAATAAAATGAAACTTGGGAAGGGTTAAATACACTTTATTATTCCAAATTAATTTCACAGAACTCCTTCTTGCCGTTTTACAATAAAGCCTCCACTCGGGCTTGAACTCAGGAACTAAGAAATTAAACTTAACTAAAAAGATATAGCTGAAGCTATCAAGTTTCTAACAGAGTTGGCCCCTTAATGCTGAATAACGGTGAAGCTATCAAGGGTCTAAAGTATGGCCGAGCATAATAATAGCTTAAGAGGGAGTAGTCTAAAAAAGGTGGACCCTCGCTAGTCAGAATCACTGGTTCTCTCTAACGAAGTCAATAGAACTTCACAGTTAAATACTTCTCCTCATTTGCATTCAATCGCAATTCAAAAAATATGTTCTGTCCGGAAGTTGTAAGCTTGAGATTAAGAAAGGATAGGAAAATAACTCAAAATTTAATTGTTAGATAAATTAACATAATCCTTACACACTTTTCAAATGAAGTAAACAGCATCTTTATTTTATCTGAGTAATCCAATTGCTTATCAGGAAAATATTCCTTGAGTTTCTTTTGGTAAGGAAAATTGACAAAATTTTGAAAACCAGGCTGCTTTGAGAACACCTGGAGTTTTGGTTTGAAAGCAGATACTGAATTAGCCAGTTGATTGATGAATTAGTTTTTCCCGTCAGTTTTCTGTTTAGTTCATTCAGATGGGTTATCACATCAACTAAAAATGCTAAGTCACACTTAAAAGATGGTTCCTTTAACATCCTAGTTTTGCTTGCAATTTTCTTCAAAGAATGGTATTATTTCATCAATCAAATCAGCAAACATTTCCAAAGCCTCGACTCAACCACCATACATCAGAGTAAGATCACTATGTTGTGCATCTGTGTATTCTAGGATTTCCTTAAATTGCCTGGGGAAACCACATGAGTGAATAAAATTGATTGTATATTGCTCACTACCTTGATTAGGGGGTTTAATCCTAGTTCTTTTGCACACAGCTGTTCTTGGTATATGATACAGTGATACCGAAGCAAATCTTTGCCTCAATCATACAAAAGGTTTCTCAGTAGACTCACCATGCCATTCTGAATTGCAATCATGGCTGGAGCTCCATCAGTAGAGATACTAACAAGTTTGTTAAGATCAACTAAGTAATTATGTCAAGATCACAAATTTAAAATGAAGGATAAGGTATCAGCTCCAGTTGTTCTCCCTTCATTGAACTCATTCCAACAAGTTGGTCAGTTACTTCAAAATTTTCAGAAATCCCTCTAAGAAGCAAAAGCATGTGAGCTGTTGAAGTAATGTCTGTTGACTCATTAGCTGCTAGAGAAAAGTACTTAAATTTGGTGGCAGCAATATGTAATTATTCATTAACATCATTAGATAAATTTTCAATTCTTTGAATTGTCATTCTGCCGAAACTCTTATTTTTAAATTTCTTCGTAGCTTCACAGCATACTTTCTTATGTAGCAAACAATACACACTCCGGTAAAAATATATTTACGGGTGCTGCTTGGTGATTTTTGGCAGGACACCGAGTTTGTGCAATTCTTTGACTTGTTATTTTGGCTTTGTGTAGCAATGATCTCTGTGCCAAAAATCGCCGAATACACACAAATTCAAAATAACAAGTCAAAGAATTGCACAAACTTGGTATCCATGTACACATCAACCTATTTTCACAAAGAAAAATTAGATAATTGTGCAAACTAGACATTGTGCACTCCCTTGACTTTTTCCATGTATACATCAATCTATATTCACTAAAAAGGAACAGCCAACAATATGTAATCTTGATAAACTTCATTTTAAATCAAGCAGTGAAAAAACATAAAAAAGGAAATTCATCTTAGCACTACACAAAGGAAATATCCGCTTAGATTATTTACAAACTGCCCTATCTTCAGTCAAACAAAATTTCTTAACAGCACCCAAAAACTTCCTAAAATTATCTGAACTTGAATCTGTATACTGGCATTGCCACATAAATTCACAAAAATAAGAGAATATCCTCCATAGTGCAGGTGACGGAGGGCAGGGACGCCTGAAGCTTAACAGAGGTTAACAGGCATATGTCCCGCGTCCTCCCCTGGAGTTTATTTAACCTCCATAGTGCAGGTATCCTTCAACGTTCGACCATACGTGTTTCCTTCCTTAAAACAGAACACTTATAATAGCAATTAAGTAAAGTTTCATTTACAGCCATGTGGTTGTCTTCATGTGTAGCGTGTATATGAGCCAGTTTCCCTTAGAAAGTCCTCATGTGCTTTGCTATAATTAAATAATCTAATCCAATCCATTTACACGCCAGTCAATTCATGCTTTTTTCCCTTTCGTTCCAAATCGTACAAATCTTCAAATTAATCCTACAACATTCAGCCATTTTACCATGTAAACTCTTATTTCTAATCCATAAGTTCTATATGGAAGAGCTTTCGATTTCTATATTCGATTCAAATCACTACTTCAATTAAGTCTTAATGACTTTTTATTTTCACACATCTTTATTTTACACTATTTACAGGATTACTTTAATGACAGTACATTTTAGTTGGTTTCGAAATCAAAGTTCGTCTCTATGCTCCTCAGAGTGGCTCGAATCTAACCTCATTCTGAGATCTCAATTAGTGAAAAAGAAAGCAAGAATGCCCGCCATCTAGTGCAAGAATGGGACATCCTCCCACCTTTTGATTTTATATTGGAAAATCAAAACAAAATTTAGCATTAATCAAACAAAAGCTCACAAATATGAAAATTAACTAATGTTCTAAAAATCAATACGTACAAAAGACTATTACACATCTAAACATTTTCTTACCATATCCAGGTAACATATTCCAATTTATTACAGTTAGGACAATTAAACTTCTAAGATACTGAAAAGAAACAAAAATTAGTACAGTACAAAGTCTGTAATCCGAACGTCCATTATCCAGAATGATCTATAATTCGGACCTCAAAGCCACAAACTTTACACATGCACGTAGAGAATGTGCATACATTACGCACGCGCGCGTTGAAAGAAGTGTTTAGTAAAAGTAAACAAATAAATATTAAGCTTCTTTTTTCTAAAATTTGATACCCTTTAGATCATAATTGCTCTTTATTTCATAAATTGTGCTTTCATATTTTAATTGTATAATTTCTGCATGCCATCTTACCAGATTTACATTGATGATCTATAATCCGGAAACACCGAAGTCCCGACAAATCCAGATTACGGACTTTGTACTGTATAACAATTTAAAAATACATAACAGGTTTTACGTCTATATCTAGTATGATAGTTAATATCACTGCCAGACTTATCGGCAGAGTTCTTTCTGTTCATAGTCAAGTCACTAAACAAGTTAGGTCTATCAAGGTTGAGAGAATAAATCCATTTCACAGGTTTTAGGAGTTTCCCCATTGCAGTTTTCATTTTGACAACACGTATTTCGTTGTCTTTCCTAGGATACGTTTCTACAATGTGACCTATAGGCCAATCTGTTCTTTTCCTTCTGTCGTCCTCTACAAACACTAAACCATCTTTCTGGATGGTTCGCGAAGGTATGGTCTTTGGTCAATGTACTAACAGTCCAAGATATTCATCTCTAAATATTTGACGAAATTCTACATGTAATTTTTGATGGTATTGCCATATTTTCGAGAAGTTGATTTTATCCAAACTGTCCAGATCCGAAACATCCTCAGTTCGCACATCCTGAATAAACGTAGATGGAGTGAATGCACATAAATCGGTGGAATCTTCTGACTCTTATGTTAATGGTTTGGAGTTGATATTTGCTTCTGCATCACATAGGATAGTTAACATTTCTTCATATGAAAGTAATGCTTTTCCCAAGACTCTTCTCAATAATTTATTGATCATCTGAACCAGTCTCTTCCACCAGCCGCCACCATGCTACGGTTGGTGGATTTAACTTCCATTGAATTTTCATTGTCGAAGAACTTCTGATAATTTGGTTCCAGTCAACAGATCCGAGTAAATTCCTTACGCATACAAAATTTGTGCCATTGTCGCTGTATACTACTCTAGGCCGTCCTCTTTGTACTGGGAATCTTGGAAATCCAAAGAAGAATCCATTAGTCGATAAGCTTTCAATTAATTATAAATGAACTGCACGATAAACTCCACAGGTAAAAAGCAAGATCCAAGCTTTTCTATTTTCTTTTAAATTAAGTGGTCCTGCTACATCAACACCTGTCACCTCAAATGCATAAGCATCTCTTACTCAATTTTCTGGGACACAAGGCACTGTATCAGAAGCTTTCGCCGAGTGTCTCTTACACCGAACACACTTCGATATGACTTTTTGTATTGTTTTTCTTCCTTTTATCATCCAAAATTTTTGACGAATATTGGTCAAGGGGGGAACGTTGCGGTGCGCAATGAACTGAAAGTTGATCTGTTAGCACTATCTTTGTCTTCGGGACAGATGTTTTTGTTTTATTCGGCTTATAATTTTTTACTAAATGTAGTATTTCATTTCAATGTACTCCGTCTTTGATATGATTTAAATCAAATTCCTCGTCATTATAAATATCACGAATACAAATCAAATAGTTTTTCTGGTTGCAATTTTCTAATTTCGACTATGCGTAATGTATGCTTTATGCATCCACACGTTGAAAGAAATGTTTAATAAAGTAAACAAATAAATATTAAGCTTTATTTTTTGTAAATTTTGATACTCTTTAGATCATCATTGCTCTTTATTTTATAAATGACGATTTCATATTTTTAATTTTATGATTTCTGCATGCCATCCTACCAGATTTAAATTGATGATCTATAATCTGGAAAAGCCGATAATCCAGAATCAACGAGTCTGGATTAAAGACTTTTTGACTGTATTTGATATGGCATGAGCCCATGATAGACAAAGCACATCAACTGCACTTTAAAAACACTCTTTTGCAAATACTTCTTAAGCAAAGGGTTTTTTATGCTTAGCAATTTTTTTCTGTTATCATTTAATGAATATGAACACTATTTTCAGATTCTTTATTCACCGTGGCGAAGAATGACTGCCGAAAATTTAGTTTTGATTTTAATTCACTCACCTTATCACTTCGAAAATGACCTTACAATGCAGAATATTTCTCACTGTACTTAGTATCATAATGTCTCTTAATGTTGTATTCCTTCATCACAGCGACATTGTCGTTCCAAATAAGGCAAACTGCCTAAAATTTGTCATTTTCAGAAAATTTCATCTCAAATAATATCAGGCATGTGAATAGAATGTTTTAAATATCAAGAATAAGAGAAAAAAAATTTTACGACAAAAAGCTGACAAGGCAATTTTTCTTGAAACCAGAATTTCTTAAAATTCTTCAAATTCAAATGTGTGGCCACTAAAATGACTTCAGCGAGACATGGATTGAAGACCCCCTACGTTACAAGATATGTCATTTTAGGCATTGGTATGTGTTGGCCATTGAAACCATGTGTTCATTGACTGTGGCTCTCTTGCAACCATTGGTAATAAATTCTCATAAAAGTAATTGGATCTTCACCAGTTTGAGCAGTAATTACACAATATAATAATCTATAGCCCCAATAGATTACAATTTGTTTGCAAGATTAGATCAATATGAGTTCTTTCTTCTTACATGAAGCATAACATGACATCCAACACGAAAACAACTAATGAATACAATTCCTGAATGAAAAATTCAGATTTCAGTCTAGCTTTTCAAACTGATTTGAGGTATCATTACTCTTTCTCATTATACAAGCTTGCTATGAAATGCTAGTAATATGCATAACCCAGCATGTTCTAACTTTCTTGTAAATTTCAGGTTTGTTGTACACTTCCTTTACAATGTAGCAATTTTAATAGGTAGCTTTGTGTATGTTTATAATTATGTGTTCTATATAGTAAATTATATTATGACAAACTGGAATCTTTTATTACTTATACATAAAACACATATTTTCTTTTCTTTTAGCTGCTGTATCAAATACTTCTGTAGACGAAAAAAGTAAAGAAAAGTCGCAGCTCGTAAACAGAAGCAAAATTACATCTAAAATTGAAGAAAATAGTCATAGTAATAAAAGTTGTAATAATTATCAAACTTCTGCAACAGCTTTACCTTTTGAGCAGAAAAAAGAATCTTCTGGAGAAAAAATAGATGACAGAAGTGCCAGAGAACTGAACAGGGTAGAAACATGTTCTGCTAACAATTTTAATAAAAATGGTTATGTTAAAGACCATCCGAAAAAGTAAGTCTTTTTCTTCTCAGAAAACAGAATTTGATAATGAATGGACATTCAGTGAATCAGAAAGGATAAAAACAGATCCTACTAATTGTTATAAAAATCATAATCAGGCTCAAAGAAGCAATTCATATTCTCCTGGAAGAAGTTCTCACTGTTTTCATAAAAACAATAATCATGTTGGTAAAGAATATCCTAGTTCTCATAAAAGTAATTCTAGGAAAGACAAGGAATCAAAAAGTGTGAGAAGTCAAAGTCATCAAGTTCATGTAAATTCTTTTAGTTCAGCTGGAAGAAAGCCTTCCTCTTCACAGGAAAGCAAATATTCTGAAAAAAAGATATTTAATAAACAAATTAATGAATTTGAAAGGAAAGAAACAGATTCTGACTATCATTGTTATAAAAATTTTGATGAAGGTGATAATGTGCAGATAAATGAGTTTTCTATAGAAAAAGCAATTGTTAGGAATGACAGTGATTTGAAAGTGATGAGGAATCAAAGTGCTCCTAATAAAGGCAAAAACCGAGAATTAAATTCAGATGACAGTACTATCGTTTTAAAGAATGATTTTCGAACTGCTCGGACTATAATATTTAATAATGACCAGCTACAAGTTTCTGTATGCAATAATAAAAGTGAACACTGCAGTACATTTAATTCAGTCCCTTCAATTTCACCTTCCTTAAGTTTGAATAGTAACAAAAGCTCAAAGTGTACTTATTCATCAATATTGCCAGAGCATGAAGAGCACAAAAAAGAAATACTAGCTATAGATATAAATTCTAGTAGTTATAATAGTTTGTGCCCAGAATTGCCTGACACAAATTGTATTGATTCATTAGATTGTTTTGAAATAGATAAAAAAACTTGTAATTTGGAGATGCCTTATATTCCTCCACCTCTTCTTCCCAAGCCTTCAAATGACTCCTTGAATTTACTTCCATCTGTTTTATCTGAAAACTCAGAGAAGGAATCTTTGTTAGAAAAAGTATGTTTTTCATTGAACCTTTTTTTTTTTTTTTTTTTTTTTTTTTTTTTTTTTTTTTTTTTTGTTTTTTTTTTTTTTTTTTTTTTTTTTTTTTTTTTTTTTTTTTTTTTTTTTTTGTTTTTTTTTTTTTTTTTTTTTTTTTTTTTTTTTTTTTTTTTTTTTTTTTTTTTTTTTTTTTTTACTTTTTTTTTTTTTTTTTTTTTTTTTTTTTTTTTTTTTTTTTTTTTTTTTTTTTTTTTTTTTATTTTTTTTTTGTTTTTTTTTTTTTTTTTTTTTTTTTTTTTTTTTTTTTTTTTTTTTTTTTTTTTTTTTTTTTTTTTTTTATTTTTTTTTTTTTTACATATTTATTTAGAAAATTACTTTAAAACTTAAATTTTTGCATGCTTTTGCAAAAACGATTATTTTAGGATTACTAAACTGTATTTTCGCCTTAGTAAACCTTCTCTGAACAGCTTCAAAATTTTAAGCTGCTGCTTTATCTGGTCACCATTATTTTTATTTAATGTAATGCTAATTTTTGTTGGCTATTTGTATATGTCCAAAAAAGTACTATGATAAAGAATTTTAAAAATGTGTTTTTAATCATATTTAATGCAGTGTATACAATAAGATTAAAAAATTGCATTTATTCATGCAATTTTTTAATCTTATTGTGTACATTGCATTATGGAAGTATAAGGAAAATTACATATGTATTTAGGAATAAATGCCTAGACACATTTTTGATCCATCAGGATCAATGATTAGTATTAATATACAGTTTCAAACAAACCTAACACTAATTTTGACTAGATAAAATTAAATGAAAGTATAAAATATAAACTATATATCATATGAAATCCAACATTCTTCCACTTTAAGTTGTTGGGAAACAGCCTATTATAAATCTAGAGAACTTCTAAAAATAAACACTTTTTCTTTTGAAAAATCAACCAGCCATAGCTAAATTTATGCGTTCTTCAGATTCTGTATCTGATTTAAGAATTGTAATAAACCGTCCAGTCTACGTTTTGGGTCTGGACCATGGTCAACATTTGCACTTCTTTTGATTGGCTCTTAAAAAATCCTCAGGTAAGCAAGATTCAACTAAAAGATAAAGAAGTACAGCACTTTTATTTCTAGTGCCTCTCTAAGGGTTTCCAGAGCCTGGATTTGTAGTTCCAAATTATCATATAATGCACAAGTTAATAGAAGAATTACTTTAATTTGCATTTCTAAGGATCAATTTCAACAATTCTCTTGCAAGTCATTTCAATCAAAACGAGCCTTCAAACATTCTATGGCCTTTGGATAGTTAGCAGCTGTAATGGGAAAACTTTCTATAACCTCCCTTGCACTTGAGTCATGTGCTCTTGTAATAAATAATGAATTTTATCACTGTCAGAAATTGTAATATCTTTGTCAATTTTTTCAAACTGAATCTAAAAATGAAAGAAACCGTTCCTTAATGTCACTATAAATTTTTTGTAATTCAAGCTTAGGAAGTTTAAATGTATGTTTTCATGCATTCTCATTAAGATTCATTCAAAATCAAGTTTGAAGTACTTACATTTTGTAGATTCTGAAGAATACCTTTCACTTCAGTTTCGATTCTGACAGCCTTGTCTCGATGATCTTCAGTAGCATCAAAATTTGCTTCAATTTAGTTTTCACTCAGAATGTATGTGCGTATCTTCCAAACATTCAACTTTCAAAACAAAATGTTAAGTTCCAACTGTAATTCAGAAGAATACATCTCTTTTCTTTATAATTTCTTCTAAAACATTGAGGGATTTTGTAAATGCAGTTCTGTGAATCTTTTTTCCTTTAATACCTGCTTGAACTTACATTTTTATACTTCAGAATTTCAAACAAACATCTCTCTTGTGCCCTTGAGGGTACCAGAAAATGTTTGCTTGCACATCAAAATAAACTATTACACAGTCAACGTATCACAGACTCTAGAGATTAATAAACATATTCTAAAGTATTCATTATTACTGAAAATAAGTTTGAATCTTTAATAAATGCAGCACTCATGTGAATAAAAAATATTCTTTTAATAAGTCTACTTATTACAAACACATATTTTTGCTAATTCTCTAAGTTGTTTTGCTGCCACTTCCAAGAAACAAAACTAACAATACTTATTAGTGGCCAAACGACATTAAGTAAATAAAATTAAATGAAAGTACATGAAATACAAACTACATATCGTATGAAATCCAACACTTACCACAGGAGCATTTTCTGCAAGATTTAACTGGCACTAATTACGAAAGGGCACTAAACTGTCTAATGCTGTTGTATGCTGACCATCAACAAATGGCAGTTCTGAGGATTCTTTGTCTCTGTAGTATAAACCACATACACTGCTGGCCATTAAAACTGCAACACCGTGAACGAAAGCAAATACAAAAAAGATATATATTGCCCATAAACAGTATGGCATGAAGACAAAATGATTAAATTAATGAGCATTTTGGAGGTTTATAGGGGTGCGAAATTAGTAGAAACAGCTGCCACCCCATGCAGCTAAATCGATCATTATCTGGTTAGGCATAGAGTCAAACTGGGCTTGGATGACAGAAATGGGCAACTCATTCTGTGCTGCTTCAAGTCTATGCCACACTTCATCAACTGTATTAGCTGGAGAGAGGTGGCAGGCCAGTCTTTCAGCAACCCATGACCAGATGTTTTCAATGGGTGACACATCTGGAGACTGTGCAGGCTAGGACAGCAATCATATACCCTTAGTATCGAGGAAGGTCAGAACACGACATGCAACATGTGGTCTTTCATTACCTTGCTGAAACATAGCGTTTTGAGGCCTCAAAGGTAGGGTACAACCACTGGATGTAAGATGTCAGAAATATACCCATCTGCGCTCAAATTCCCATTGATCCGAACTAGAGATGTGTGTGTCGTGTACCCAATGGCTTCCAAAGCCATCACACCAGGGCCACGGCCCTATTCCGATATCGAATGCAAGCACGTGAAGTGTGGTTTCCTCGGACACGTATAAGGACATCAGAATACTGCACGTAGAACTGGGACTTATTTGAAAACGTGACATAGTGCCGCTCCTGTACCCAGCTCTGTCGCTTGGCACACCAGAGACGCCATCTCTCTCTATGCTGCATTGTCAAGGGAAGTCGGAGTAATGGTCACCCTGCTGATAGTCCACGCTGCTGAAAACGTCGACGCACCTTACAAGCTGATGCTGAGAGTGCTACAAACATGCCCATTTCTGGCTAGTGGTCCGTGATGTGGTCGTACGGTTTTGCAGGGCTAACCTCATAATATGTCTGTCCTCTTAGGCATTAGTCATGGGAGGGCATTGAGATCCTGTATGTCGTTCAGTTATGAACCTCAGTAATCCATTGATTCCATATTTCCATGACAGTGGTTGGATGTCGACCAGTGCGACCAGCGACATCACGGAACGATAATCTACATTTTTGATAGGCAATGATCCTACCACTATTGAATTTCGAAACTTGCTCGTAAGCATTTCCTTTTCTTATTCGAGGCATAACACGATATTCTGAGCAAACTCCAACCTTAGAAAACACTTTCTGAATGAGAAATCCACTTCACAACTTTTCTTTTAGGCAGTGCTTCAGGTGTGGTTTCTCCTTCCTGCGTCGTCTAAATGCGCTGAAATACTAATCATCTGCATATCCCAACTTCTTCCTTTCTTGTGATTTTGAAATTCGTCAGATCATTCCCTCCTGGTGTTGCAGTTTTAATAGCCAGCAGTGTATATAAACTTCTTTGTGGCTTAGAGGGATGCCACTGAGCGACATTTTCACAACCATCATTACGTGCTGAATTGACTGGAAGAAGATTATTAAGAGACTGTCTATTTTCCATCCAGCTGTTACAGTTGGCTACTATGGAGATCAATGGTTATGCATTTAAAGAATGGTTGGTAAAAGTCATCTGTATCCACACTATACACTCTATGCATTTTCTGGATGCCATATGTATGGATATGATAGGGATAAAGAAGTTATATTGTAAGGCTCAAAGAAATGAAATACAGTATGTCACTTTAACTACATTTCTGTGTTGTCATATTTTTTTTTTCCTTTATAACCCAGAAGAAATGGTACTTAGTGTTATCGCAACCACTTTAGTAGAAGTGACCAGATTTTGAGAATGTGCCAAACTCACAACCATGCTTATAACAAACCTTCAATCAACAAAGTGTCACCATTTTAGCATGCTTTCTTTTTGTTGTATTCCAGTGCCTTTTATAAACAAATTTTGGTATTTTATGCTTTAAACTTAATTTTAAAATATGTGCATGTGGAATTTGCCAGAGGCAGAAGACCCTGTGATAAAATTTCTTTAGGAATGCAGAATGTCCAAATTGAATAAAAAGAAGAAGCGTTTGATAGTTACCAGAGTTTGCATTATGTCTGTCAATTGTCTAATGTTTTTTTATGTGTAAACAGATGACTGTGTACTTGAGGAGAAGAATAAACCCCCAAAAAATTATAGAAAGATTTGTGAAAAATTTTAATATTTTATTTTTTCATGTATCACATAATATTTTTATAATTAAAATTTGTATATTAAATTACTAAAGCATATTTCCATATTTCATATATTTATAATGTTTTCCAACTTACAATAAATATCAATAGTTTGGGAATCTTTAAAAAAAAGTCACAAAAGCCACCAACTTGCATTCATGACTTAAACAACTGTTTCCTTTCCATCTGTAAAATGTCACCACATTGTGCCAAGATCATTGGGTTAATATGTAAGTACCAAAGAAATTAATGAAAAATATGGTGAATGACTTCAGCAGAGGAAAAAAAGAAAGATGGTTTGTAGAAACATCAAGCTGTGGTATGTTAGCTGAAATCTTTTGGTATTTGATAAAATGATCAACAAAAAATGAAAGAAAAAGAACAGAAAACACATTTTCTTGTTCACTACAAAAGTAAATGGCTGTCTCATATGAAAATGTCGTACTTGGTTATTAGCTAGCACCTTATACATCATCA